TCTGCTGTAATGAATGTTAATAAATTTGCATGTTGGTTTTGTTTTGTTGTTGTTGTTGTTAATTGTATTTGGCTTTGACATTAACATTTGATGACACTGACAGTGAGTGAATGTGTGAGAGCACGTACATGTGTTTGTTGTGACTTTGGTTTAAATTTAGTTTAATTTTCTGCTGTTGTTTTTGTTCTCGTTTTAATTCAAATGACATGTGCGACAATACAATACAAAAAATGATTAACATGCGACGAAAAAACAGAACGCCAGCTAAATGGCTTCCATTACGACAAACAATTGATCTGCCATTATATTTGATGGCTTAACATAAGTTGTGTTGTTGTTTTTATTATTTTGTCATTTGTATTTATGACAATTGTTTTGACGTTTTTTTTCTACGTTGTTGGTTTTTCTTTCATCCTTTACACTCAATTGATTTTTAAAAATGAACGCATCATCATCATTACCATTATCGTCATCGACATCATTATTTGCTAGAGAGAGATTATTTTGTTGTTTGCTGATTTTTCTTGAAATTGCAATACTTTTTATTATGGGGGGTTTTTTATTGTTTATTTGTGACAATTTGTAGTCAAAATCCATTTTCGTAATGGTTTAACATTTGCTTCTCGGCTTTATTAATGGGAATCTCCATTAATTTAAAGTGTTATGTCGATTTTATAATGAAATTATTTGTAAGTTTTTTTCTGAGATTATTTGATAGCTGATTGTAGGTCACGTGATATCTATAGATGAAGAAAAAACAAGTGAAACATCGTTTGGATATCCTCCACCATAGGTATACCTAGGAACACTGTAGGGAGGAACACTGTGGATATTGGTGCAAAAAATTGCACCAATACCGACAATTGAATCAAGCCATTATTGTAAGCCATAATGCACACAATTTACAAATTTTAATGGGAATTTTTCCCAAAATATCAAAACCCCAAATCGTGGTCCTATATTGGGTGAAAGGGGGGAACATGTGTGTAGAATCCGTGGTCCTATATTGGGTAAAAGGGTGGAACATGTGTGTAAAATCCTCAATATACTCCACTCCATACTTTTTGGGGTATAAACTGACAAATTTCGAGTAAAGAATATTTTGCATAGTATGGTGTAATACGCCTACATGAGGACAACTTCAACACGCGGAACCAGTTAACTATTTTAATATAAAAAGGGGTTATATGGGGATTACATCTAGAAGGGGTGAATATAATTAATTTTTGGAATGAAGATTTCTTACCAAATATGAATACAAAATACCATCAAAATACCGTAAATTATCAGGTGCCGTTATATGGGGTCTACCCATTCGACCAATTTTTATACCCTCCACCATAGTATGGAGGGTATATTAATATTGTCATTCCGTTTGTAACTCATCGAAATATTCATTTCCGACCCTATAAAGTATATATATTCTTGATCACGGTAAAATTCTAAGACGATCTAGCCATGTCCGTACGTTTGTCCGTCTGTCTGTTGTAATCACGCTATCTTCTGAAGGAATTGAGATAGGGTGCTGAAATTTTGCATAGGATTGTCTTTTGTCTGCAGGCAGTTCAAGTTCGAAGATGGCATATATCGGTCCACGTTTAGGCATAGCTCCCATATAAGGGTACCCCACAATTTTCGGTATTTTGGGGTTATTGAGCGCGTTTTTCAGCCGAATTCGCTAAAATTTGCTACATTGGGTTCTTATTGGGTACCAAATATCTCCACTAAAAATTATAAATAAAAGTCCATTCTTTCTGATAGCTCCCATATAAGGGTACCCCCAGATTTTGGTATTTTGGGGTTCTTGAGCGTTTATTTCAACCGAATTCGCTGAAATTTGGTATATTGGGTTCTTATTGGGTACCAAATATCTCCACTAAAATTTATAAATATAAGTCCATTTTTTCTGGTAGCCCCCAAATAAAGGTACTCCCAAATTTTGGCATTTTGGGGTTCTTTAGCGCGTTTTTCAACAGAAGTCACTGACATTTGGTATTTTGTAGCCGTATATGGAAACAAATCTCCCTACCAAAAATTATTAATAGTTAACCCCTTTTAGGCGTAGTCCCCATATAAGCTCATTTTTTATATTAAAATAAATATCTGATATTTCCGCGTTTTTGGTTAGGTTCTAACACTCTGTTGTAATCATTTCACCTGCGAAGGATATCGAGATAAAAAACTAGAACGTACGGTTCGATAATGAACTATATGTGAATTGTAGCCCGCATTTAGGCTCAGCCGTAGCCCCTGTGTGGGAGGTACCACAAGGCATGGACCGATATTCCCCAAATTCGGACTTGAACTATGATTGGAAAACATAATAATATGGGATGAAATCAAATTTTTCTGAAACGGATTTGGTCCAAAGAAACTTGGCGTCTAGAACCAATATTTCGTTGAGGCACATTTTCACCGTGTGAAAGTGTATACACACTAATTAGCCATAAGGCTGAGGGTATAATTTTCTATTAAAAATTATTGCTTACAAAATCGGTTTATAGAAATGTCGGTATAGGTCCACTTTTTGGTATGTTCCCTATATTTTCATTTCAAGTACCTGCCTGTATATCTATGGTGGAGGGTATACAAAGTTCGGCCCGGCCGAACTTAATGCTTTTTCACTTGTTATATTTTTTGCAGGAAATTTTGGCATCCAATTAGAACCGAACATACCGAATTGCAGCCATTCTGTTTGAACAACGTGCCCAAACTCCTCAAAATACCGACATTTATATAGGGGCTAAATGGACCGATATTTAAATTGTTTTTGCATGAAAATTTTGTACCCTATAAGAACACAAATTCTCGAATTAAAGAGTATTGGTTGAAAAACGTGCTCACAAAACCCCAAAATACCGACACTTTAAGGGTGTCTTTATATGGGGGCTACCAGAACATATGGAGAAAATTTGGGGATATTGTCATATGGGGGCTATGTCTAAACGTAGACCGATAAAGTCTATTGACGAACTTTACCTTCCTGCAGACAAATGTCAGCTACAACGGGAAAAGTGGACCTTTCAAAATGTGGGACCTTTATATGGGTGATATGTCGATTTTGATGATTTTCACACCCCAAAGAAATTGAAGCTTCCTTTGTGGCAAAATGTGGCTAAAAACTTCAAAACACACCTTTATATGGCGGTCGTATCATAATATGGCTCCATATAGGTTTTCAGCAAAGAACCCTGAATGTCAATTTAGGTGAGAAAATACGGCTAAAAACATCAAAATACCAAAATTGGTGAAGGTTGCCTATAGCAAAAAAAAAAAAAAAAAAGAACTATCATCAAAAATGTCTGCAAACATATTATTGGAGCCACTTCTGTCATAAAATGTGCCCTAAACCTTAAAAAACTATGACCTACATTGTACATATTCTGCGAAGATATCTGTTACCCCCAAGAACCATGCATTAAATCTTCACAATACCAAAAATGGGTACGGTTCGTCATATAGCTATGTCGAAATGGATCTAATGTTTATTTAAAAACATAAACCAATATGGAAAATAAATTTTCTGCAAAATAATGTTTTCGCCCTCTAAGGATCCATAAAAACTTCAAATTGCCGAAAATTTCATATATCGAACATTTTTTGCAAATATGTTTTTACTTCCAAGAATCGAACCGACATCAATATATAACATATTATTGTCATCCACAATTTTGGGAGATCCCGACAAATACCTCTGAAGCCCCAAAAAATTAGTGAGCGGAGCAGACCATATGATACCCTTCACAACTACCACTGAGCTCTAAGTTTTTTTGCGAATCTATATTCCAAACCAGGAAAATATTTCGCGACATTTGGGCTCTGTAGACCGATTCATTTTTAAAAGCTCCTCCGCTGCATCTTTTCCAAATTATGTTTCTCGAAGTAAAAATGTATTCCATACGATTCGAGTTTTTTTATTTAACATAAATATGTTTTGGTTCCTTTGACCCATTAAATATCAACCGTTCTTGATAATGAACGGCCGTACGAATTTGTTGCGCACATCGTTTTCCCCATGGGAAATTTGTGATGTTCGGCTTATAATTGTTTCGCCTCCGATATATAATCTCATCATCACCGAAAATTATAGGCGTCGTCCATGACCATAACAGGAACCTAAAGCAAAATTTTGTAGTCGTCAGGGCTACATTTCAGCCCTCTAGTGTGGTAATGATAATACTAAACAATATCAGAATACGTCGACTCCATTTGAGATTTACGTATAACTACCCTATCCGAGTACATTCATACATATAATTGGTATCAATTTATAGGCCAACCACTCCTCTTCGTTATTCTATTAACTTCTCGGATAGAACACAAATTTTGTCATTTTTCACACAAAAGTCTGGGTCCATTTGATTCGATATATATATTGACCGATCTTCATCATCACTGTCATGCTCATTCGTGTAAAATTTCGTGGTGTTAGTATCGTAATTGTAGCCTTTAGAGCGACTAGAAAAACAGAGAAGAATAAAGTTTTTGGTCCATTTCATCCCCATAATATTAACTGATCATTATCAAAAATTGGCAATGATCGGTTGGAGGCTACAAAACATCAATAGGGGTCTTCTTTGGCCAGATCCCGTCCTACATGCAAAATTTCGTGACGATTGGTCCATAACTGTGGGCTGTATCATGTTTACAAATTATAATGGACAGGCGGACAGACACACATGTATAGATCGACTCAGCTAGTCGAGATATGACGATCGGTATACTAAAATAAGGATGTTAAAGACTCTTGTCGTTGTGTAGGGTATAAGAATCACGCTAAAACCTTATAAAATCTACGACAGAAATATAAATTCTTAAAAAACCCTGATAGAAAATTATGTTTTTAGAAAAATTTGTTAAAAATGCAAAAAATTTAAAAATCTTTTAAAATTTATTTAAAAAAATCTACCCCTAAGTGTCTTTAGGACTGAAAGGTATTAATTCGTATTTCTGAGACACTTTACTATTTTAAATAATTTCAAAAATTAAATATTACTTACCCAAATATCTCTCGACTATCCTCGTTGATTTTTAGTGAATGCAAGCAGCCCGTAAAACCGGTGCCACTCTGCGATGGTGGTAATTCAATTATCAAACCAATTGGTGCTTGTGGTGCACCTCCCAAATGTAACCAAGTGTTTAGTATGGTTTCCGGTGTGTGCATACGAGGTGGTAACAGCTTCAACCATGTAGGTTGGTCACCAGACATGGCCAAAGTGTCGTTGACCAGGAGGGAGGCATTGCAATGGGTATAATTTCGGCTGAAATCCAATCTGCAAAAATAGATAAGAAAAAAGTGTTAGAAAAATATTCAGAAAAGAAGAAAATACAAATTTTAGACACAATGATTGATAATAATCCTCTCCTCCAGAAAGGAAAGGATTTCATTTTCCAAACACACACACACACATACATATATTTCGAAATAATTTTATTATCAGTTTGTGGGGAGGAACCTTTAACATCAGTGTTAATATGCTAAAAAGTTGGGCATTTTTGGTTATGAGAAAACCAGCAACTGGCCTTAAGGTCATATTAGCACATTTAAGCTGTTTACTTGTCAAAACATTCACACGGAACACACACACACACACTCCCATATATCTACACACACGAATATACTGATGTCATTAATATAAACGACTGGGAAAAAAGGGTTAGAAATAACCCTAAATTTTTTCTTCCTAGGAATGCCTTAGATATTATAATCTTCTATAGAACAAACACCCCAAATAACTATCCAAAAAACACCCAAACACTAGAACACAACCACACACACACTCACACATGTACGACGAAAACTATAATACAAAGCTTTTAAAAGAATACAAAATATTTTCCTCTTTTAGCTTATCTCAATTTCACATATATAACACTCATATGTGTACACATGCCACTCACACTATGACACCTGACATATATGCATGAAACACACAAAGTCATACAAACATTTGTATGTATATATGTAGTAAATATACTGACGTTGACACTTAAGAGGAGGACTATCATCATCTGAAGCATTGTGTGTATCAACTCATCTATCTTATTGGGCTTTTTGTGTCCAAAACACAAACACTCTCACATACACATATGTGTATACATGTCCACATTTGTGTTTGGCCAAGTTTTGCTTTGTTGTTGGTGTATTAGTTTTTGTTAAAGGATGTCAGGATACATTAAGTGTCAAAATCCTAAACTAAAACACAAAACATTTTTGTTACTGCCGTCACCAACACGAATATCTCCATCACTAACACCGAACATCCCCATCACCTCCACTACTACTACCACCTTTATCACCACTACACAGACCGACCACATTTGTAAAAGTTTTTGTCAAAACAAAAAGTGACTGAAGAACCCTTTCCAAAAAAAAAAATCATAGTTATGACCAAAAATCCGTAAACATGCTGTCACTTTTAAGGACCACAAAATGAGATGAGGCTAATGCCAGTGTAAGGGCGGAGGACGATATATGTGTACACATAAGGTGACACTATCCTGACTAAGTTTTTGTTAGCTTTATTGATTGGCTTGGTTGGGGTTTGTTGAATTATGTTTAAATGAAGAGAGATGAAGGGAGAAGAAGAATACTTCATAGAAGAACTCTAAGAATCCTCTTCATGATAGGAGGGCTCTTAAGGTCTTCTTCGTAGAAGAGCTCTGACGTTTTGTTTTCATAGAAGAACTCTGAGAATCCTCTTCATCATAGAAGGGCTCTGAAAGTCTTCTTCATAGACAAGCTCTGAGGTTTTCTTTTTCATAGAAGAGCCATGAAGTTCTTATTCTTCATAGAAGAGCTCTGAAGGTCTTCTTCATAGAATAACTCTTCTTCATAGAAGTCCTCTAAACGTCTTCTTTAACGAAATAGAAGACCTCTGGAGGTCTTATTTTTCATTGGGGAGCTTAAAAGGTATTATCCTTGATAGAAGACATCTGAAAGTCTTCTTCTTCATAGAAGAGCTCTGAGGGTCTTCTTCTTTATAGAAGAACTCTGAAGGTCTTATTCTTCATAGAAGAGCTCTGAAGGACTTCTTTTACATAGAAGAGCTGAAGGTCTTCTTCATGGAAGAGTTGAAGGTCTTCCTAATGAAGCCTTCATTTTCATAGAAGAACTGACGGTCTTGTTTCTTCATTGAACAGCTGAAGGTATTCTTTATTAAAAACTTTAAAGGGTTTTTTCGTCATAGAGCAGCTCAAAGGTTCTACTTTTTCATAAAAGACCTCTGAGGGTTTCTTCCTCATAGAAAGCCTTTGAATGTTTTTTCTACATAGAAGAGTTCTGAAGTAATTATACCCTTCACCACACTGTGGTACAGGGTATTATGTCTTTGTGCATATGTTTGTAACAGGCAAAAAAAATTGAGATAGACCCATGGTTCCTTTTGAGAATATGCATAGAATTACTTTCTGAGTCGATTTACGCATGCCCGTCTGTCCGTCCGTCCGTCTGTCCATGTTAAATTGTAAACAAAGTACAGGTCGCATTTATGATCCGAATTGGATGAAATTTGGCACAGGTCACTTAATTGGCCCAAGGACGAACCCTATTGAAATTGGAGAAAATCGGTCCACGTTTATGCGTAGCTCCCATATAAGGGTACCTCCAAATTTTCGGTATTTTGAGGTTCTTGAGCGTTTTTTAACTGAATTCGCTGAAATTTGATACTTTGAGTTCTTATTGGGTAGCAAATCTCCCTACCAAAAATTATAAACAAAGGTCAATTTTTCGGATAGCCCCCATATAAGGGTACCCCCAATTTTCGGTATTTTGGAGGTTCTTGAGCGCGTTTTTTAACTGAATTCGCTGAAATTTGATACTTTGAGTTCTTATTGGGTAGCAAATCTCCCTACCAAAAATTATAAATAAAGGTCCATTTTTTCGGATAACTCCCATATAAGGGTACCACCAAATTTTCGGTATTTTGAGGTTCTTGAGCGCGTTTTTTAACTGAATTCGCTGAAATTTGATACTTTGAGTTCTTATTGGGTAGCAAATCTCCCTACCAAAAATTATAAATAAAGGTCCATTTTTTCGGATAGCCCCCATATAAGAGTACTCCCAATTTTCGGTATTTTGGGGGTTTTGATCGCATTTTTCGACCGAATTCGCTGAAATTTGGTACTTTGAGTTCTTATTGGGTAGCAATTCTCCCTACTAAAAATTATAAATAAAGGTCATTTTTTCGGATAGTCCCCATATAAGGGTACCCCCAATTTTCGGTATTTTCGGGTTCTTAGGCTCGTTTTATAACTGCATTCTTTAAATATTGTAAATTGGGTTTTTATTGGGTACCAAATAAAACTAAAAATTATAAATATAGGTCCAGTTTTTCTGGTAGTCCCCATATAACGGTACCCCCAATTTTCGGTATTTTGGGGTTCTTGAACGCGTTTTTCAACCAAATTCTTTGTAATTTGGTTTTTTGTAACGAACCTCCCTCCCAAAAATTATTAATATTCGCCCTCTTAGGGGTAGTCCCCTTATAACCCCCTTTTTATACCCTTCACAACACTGTGGTACAGGGTATTGTGTCGTTGTGCATATGTTTGTAACAGGCAAAAATAATCGAGATAGACCCATGGTCCCAGTTGTGAATATGCATAGAATCACTTTCTGAGTCGATTTATGCATGTCCGTCCGCCTGTCCGTCCGTCCGTTCATGTATTTTTGTTAACACAGTACAGGTCCCATTTATGATCCGATTTGGATGAAATTTAGGCCCAAGGACGAACCCTATTGAAATTGGAGAAAATCGGTTCAGATATATATATATATATATATATAACGTATAACGTTAAGCAATAATTTACAATGGGACCTGCATATCAACCACATACAAAATAAAGTGTCTGCTGCTACAGGAATATTGTATAAATTCAAATCCAAATTTGACACAGAAACCAAAGCATTAATATATCAAACGCGTGTTCATTCCCATTTGACATATCTTCCCATTATATATGGATTTAAATTCAGCAGCTCGTTAAAAATTCTGCAGAGAGCTCAAAATAAAGCCCTAAAAATTGTTTACAACCTACCACGTAGATTCCCAACACTAGAACTTTACAAATACAAAGCAGTAAATGTTTTACCTTTACGAGGATTATATAAACATCAGATTTTAATGGCAATGTTTAAAAATTTAAAAGGCATAGGTCTTTCGTCAATATCTTTCAGACAAAATAGAGAAATTACTGGTAGAAACACTAGGCATGCATCAGACCTGGAAGTAGCTAGATGTCGAGTTGAAGTAACAAAACAAAGAATAAAATACGCTGGACCAATGGAATATAATCAATTATCAGACGATTTGAAAAGCATTCTACAAATATCGATATTTAAAAAACGCATTAAAGCTTATCTTTTGCAGAATATTGAAAATCTTTTGTACAATTAATTTAATATTAACTATAATAAGAATTAGAATATCATAAATTGTATAGTTGCCATTAGCCTTAGCCTTTTGCCAAATATGGCGCGGAGGCATTAAATTAATTATAATTGCATAATAAAGAAAAATGAATACAAAAAAAAAAAAAAAAAAAAAAAATTAGATATAGCTCCCATATATATTTTCGTCCGATTTTTTCTTATTGATGCACCAAACTAGTGATCCGATTGAGACAAAATTTTGCATAAAGTATTGAATGAAGTCTAGATAGTTATATGCCAAGTTTTATTGAAATCGGGTCAGATTTAGATATAGCTCCCATATATAGTTTCGTCCGATTTAAAGTAAATTGTGCATCAAACTCCCAATATTGTTCCGATTGAAGCAAAATTTTGCACAGAGTACCGAATTAGGTCCGACTAATGTATGCTAAATTTCTATATCAACAGGATATTGTATATATTAACATGTCTTGCATGTACCTATAGTGGTGAAGGGTATCATATAGTCGGCCCCGTCCGACTTTTGAACTTTCCTTACTGGTTTTTTAATGGAATAGCTCTGAAAGATTTCTTCATAGCAGAACTGGAGTATTATTCATAGAAAAGATTTGAATGATTTTTTTTATTATAGAAGAGTTCGGAAGGTCATCTTCCTTATACAAGAGTTTATGGTATACTTCAGAGCTCCGAAGGTCTTCTTCTTAACAGAGCTCCAAACATATTATATTTCTCATAACAGAATAGAAGGTCATAATTATAGAAGAGCCCTGAAGGTCTTCTTCGTAAAATACCTGAAGGTCTTCTTCAGAGCAAAGTTAAAGGCCCTCTTCTTCATAGCAGAGTTGCTGTTATACTTTACCCCTGCTCTGAAGGTCC